AGTAACTCATATATGTAGGCCGAGTTTTCCAACCCAAAAAAAAAAAAAAGAACAGAAGAACACACTTCTCAATAAAAAAAAATAAACAAAAAAAAAAAAAAAAAAAAAAAAAAAAAAAAAAAAAAAAACTATACCCAGCTTTCAAAAGTCTTGATAGAAAAATTTCTCCACACTGCAGACACAGTGAAATCTATTTGCTGAAAAAATTACCTGAAATGTGAACAGGTAACGTTATGCTGAAACACTAACAGCACATGGAAAATAAAACAGCAAAGGCCAAAACACACACCATTATTGTCCTGTGCTGCACCTTCATTAATGCAGGAGAGGTGTTGCAGATTTCATATGCCTTCTGAAGAGAGAGAGGAAAAAAAAAAAAAAAAAAAAAAAAAAAAAAAACCACCACACATACACACACAAGAACTACTTTAACCAGTCTGAAAGAAGGGTAAGAAAGCATAATAGCAAGCTTGTTTTCCCAAGTTACTTTGGGGGCTTTTGATTGTTTCTTTTTAAATCAGGAAAGGTTTCAGTCGAAAAAGCATCCTGTGATGCCTGCAGAAAGCAATCATGACATTGAGATATTTGCAATTCTCCACTACAGATGGACCTTGTTTAAGAACAAAAGTAGACAAACCATGTAAGGAATTAGACTTGCACTGTCATGAGCGTCTTTGTTGTTGTTGTTAAAATATATTCTGGCAAAAGTAACACAAGCTACAAGCCAGCTCATATTTATCACACTACAGTACTGACTTGGTAAAGAAAGTTCTTATATATAACATCATAACATTGTCTTAATCAGTCCTTAAAATGCTGCCTAGCTGAAAGCTTGCAGTTCTCAACACCAAAAATCAGGATTTCTAAAACAGAAGAGAACGAGAAATACCACAGGACATTAAGTGCTGTTCAAGTGGTTAAACCTTTACATCAAAAGGCCTGGGTGCCAGTCAGCCCTCCAGACTGTTGTTGTGTCCCCAAATATAAGTGTCCCCAAATATATTTGTGTCCCCAAACTCAAGAAGTCTTTTGCTCCAAGAAAAAGGCATAAGTTGTGACTCATAAACAATACAGTAACTCTCAGAAGGCAAAATATATTCGTAGGTAACATTCCCCTAGCAGAGACTCACCCTGACTGCTTTCACTAAAATGATATTGAAGATGTTGAGATAGTTATGCTGATATGAAAACCTCACCTGAAAAATCTCTCATTCACAAAAGAAACAAGTCCTTCTCCAAAGTCATATTCTGGATGTTAATTCCCACCTACACTCCTTCCTAAGATTTCAAGAAAGTGACCTGTAAAAAAGACTAACAAAAGGTCTAGGCTCTCATCAAACAGCACGTTTTTTAAAGTACCAGGAGAGGGCAAGAGGATGACATAATAAAGGAAAGAGATTCTAATAAAGAGCAAGTATTTTACAGTAAGATATAGATGTTTTGACTCAAAGCAGTTTAAAAATCAAAGTCAAAACAGGTAAAAAAAATAAACCCCAAAGCTTTTATGTCAAAAAACACACCACACATTCCGTATTATTGTTAATGTAAAATAACTATTTTCAAATGCAACATTTTTTCTCCTCCAAAACAACAAAATAAAACTCAAAAAATAAGAGCAGCAAAATCCTCAATGCTGTAATACAGTGATGCAATATGCTGCTGAGACTCACCAACTCCAGCTATCTCTCTTTTGCATAACCTGCCAGCTTGTGCTCATTTATTCAAATTTTCTAGAAACGGCAGCCTCCCCATTCCCTGTGTTGAACAAGCATTTGAAAATAACCTTTTAGGATAGTTTACCACTTTCTCAAAATAGAACACTGCTCAGCAAAGAACAGCACTCAAGATCCAGGATCTTGGTGGGGACACAGGCTTGTAATAAACGTCTCTGTGATGAATCGGCCAGTCTCCTTCTGCTATCAACAGTGAACAAATTCAAGCTGTTTTCCACAGAAGACAGTGTCCTTATGTTGCCAAAATATTCAGATTTCCGGAAGCTAATCCTATGACCTACATTTTTAAAGTCATACTGATGCAATATTTAAGCATATAAATCTGGACAGTTACAGGTCAAATCACTAATCCCTTCTAAACGCATCTCCAAGCTGCGTATGCTATTAAAAGTCTTAATGTAAGTATAGCACAAAATGTGAATAATAGATTATTAGAAGTTTAACAGACTATTAAAACCTGTATTCCTGGAGGTACAATGTTTATGACTGTTCTTATGAAAATTTTGAAGTGTACTTATATTAATACTTCTGCTAGTCGGGTGAAACAAGTCAAAGACTTCCTCACTACATTATCTTATTTTCTGAAACAAATTAACATTTATGACAGTTCTAACATCTCTTGATAAGCGACTGGCCATGGGAGATGACTTAATGGTAAGAATAAAAAGTTATTAAAAWCTAGCATCAGCTTTTAAACTTATTTATTGAAAGTTTCAAAAGTCAATACTCAAGTCTTCATTAAATTCTTCAAAAATACCTATATGCAGTGTACTATTACCTATAAGCAATATACTGACAAACCACATTAACAATTATCAACATGCTCATGGATGCTTTTGACTGTCTCTAGGGTGATATAATCCTACTTCTTGATTTTACTGTAATTCCAAAAATAAATAAAAGACAAATCAAGAAAATTTAAAAGCTAATGCGTATATTTCTAACTATATTTATTCTAAAATGAAAGTTACTGAAAAATATCACTTAAACCATGAAGTATCATCTTACATAAGAGGAAGCAATTTTCTTCCTTGTTACATACTATTAAAGTTCACGATTACTACAGTTGTTTCAAAGTCAGAACATTTCTGTCATAGAGCATTATGGTTCTTGTGTCTATTATCTATGGATTAATACATATAATGTATAACTTGAAAMTCACATTTATGGGCCATTCATCCACAAAATTCCAAATTAGTTACTTTTGGGTATCAAGGAACAAGAAATGCAGTTCTAACTAAATTCTTAGCCATAGAAGAACTACAAACCACTGTTTTAAAATTCTGTAAGCTACTACCTGAGTAGCTTCTGCTGACTTGGAGCAAAATCCAGGATTTTGTAACATGAAGCACAATTAAATTGCTATAAGCATTAAGTGAGCTGTTCTTGATCTTTGAACAAACACCACCTTTGCTGAATGGACAGCAGTGAATCTAAGTCTTCAGCAGTTTACCACTTTATAAAGAGTGTGCAACCAGAATACCAAGCATATGTTTCAACAAAAACACTTCTTTAATTAGGAGGGTGTAATTATTTTTAGTATCAATGATTTCAACAGGCTATCACATCCCCTGTGTTTTCCTAGGCTAACAGAAAAAATTACCACCACCTCAAACATTTGTTAGGGTATTTGTTAGGGTAGACGAAAAAAAATTATATATACTTGGAAGCTAACAGCAAGTACACAAGAAGATCACGATCAGATTTCTTAGCATCTTGAAGCATGTACTATTATCTTATTCATTGGGAACAGAACACATTAAGTTTGGTATTATGCAGAAATAAGTTCTGATATTTTATGTACTAAAACTTATCTTATGGATTTGTTTTCCACTTTTAGATTCCGCATTACTATGCTCAACACTAACAGTTAACTAAAAATGAATTAGCAAATAGCTTAACAGTTTGAATAAAGATAAGTGGAACAGAACTAATTGTGTATGTGGCAAAAAAGATTCACTGCTCTAGTCCGTACCATGGAGAGACCTTAC